TCCCGGTGGCTCCGCTTTAACGGGATTCCTCCGAACAGATTTCAGACACACACTAAACATCTCCGTGAATGTAAAGTGAGATTTTTTTTTTTTTAAAAATGCTGCTGTTTTATTTTTTATACAAACTAAAACACCAGAGGTCATTGAATCCTATATTAAATACATAAATTAAAAAATAACCATTCATAAAACTTTACATACAATAAGGATTCTCTTCTACACATTCATACATATAGTACAGATAAACGTCCAGTGTTTATCAAAGGGTCATTCTGCCAAGTCATTTACAACTCTGTTCCGGAATAGACACCAAAAACGTTGGGAACAAAAAGTATACATAAAAACACACAGGTGCTGATGTGAGGGAGGGCAGGGGAAAAGAAAAAACCCTCTGAGTCGTCAGCCACCGCGTGGCTGTTTATTCAGCCTTGCCCTAGTGAGAGCCTGGCCTCCGCAGTCCTCGTGGGAATGCTGTGGAACAGAGAGCTTTGGCGGTTCAGAGGATATTTCCCACCGAGACGAGGGCAGGGCGTTGGAAAATGAAGCACACCTACAAAAAGTCTCCACAGTCCTCCAGGCTGTGGAAAAAGAGCAGCAAGCCAGACTGTGGTCGGGCCGACTCGCACTGCCTCACGCGACCGATCCTCTGCTTCTGGATGGCACCGACAGCCCGGAGCGTGCGCCAGGGGAACCCAGGGCTGCAAGTGCTGCCCTCACAGGCTGCAATAGATTGATTTCCATTTTGCTGGTTGCTTTTGGAGAGGGAAGGTTGGCTGCAGAGACTAATTTGAGGGAGGATTACAGATATTTTGCCTCAGTGAATGTCAGAAACAGCAGAAAGCCCTAGACAAACAGCTTTAGGACAGAGAAGGGGGCAGGCCCCAGAAAAACAGATGCAAAACCGACTTGCCCATGAGATGTAAAACAAAACCACGAGAAGCATACCGGTTGTGGCAGCTAAACAAGTCAAGATCCAGTTCCCCATACCTAGATTGGAAGTATACTTTCATAAGCTATAGCAATGATTTACTATATACAATAGGGAATAGATATATGCATATATATGTATATATATGTACATATACATATATACTATATATAGATACATGTATATATATATATACACAAACATCAAACTCATTTTGACCTAGCTGACAGCAGGACTCATATCAGCAAGCACGTTTTAGGCACGGCTTATGCTGTGCTGCGAGGGGACCAAAGCTGCGGTTGGCCAGCTCTCTGGAGGCAACACCGCAAGCTTTTAGAAGTTTGCAGACGGAGATAAGCTGTGGACTGTCTGCCGCTCCCACCCCACCCTGAGCCCTTGGAAACGGAGCACCACCACGCGAAGGCATACAGGCGAGTAAGGGCAGGGGAAATTAGGCAAAAAAGACGAATGCAGCAAGATGTGCGCAACAGGGCACAGAGGGCCTCGAGGATGGAGCCTGCCACAAGATCAGTCAGGTATGCTCTGAAACAAGATATTTCTGTCTGGACCATGAACTTTCCCTATGACTGCCCCAAACAAACATTTCTAGTCCTTTTTTTTGTTAATCGAAGTAGAGGTGGAAGTTATTGCACTGTCATAGAAAACAGGTGCATTCTTTTGCAGGAAGAGCTCAGTGCTTTAACTGCTGGCCCTAATGCCTAGGGGAAACAATTTCCAGCCTATATGTACTTGCGAGACACTGCAGCCAAGTGGTGTGAAATGAACTGGTGCTGCAACAGGGGAAAAAAGAGTTAGGGAGGGGAAAAGGGAACAATCAGAGAGGATAACCCCCTTTTTGGAGCTAACAAGGTGTTGTAAAGTTGCTTAGTGATCCAAAGGTGGGGGACAAGACTCTCAAAGGGCCTGACTCCAGAGCTTCAGGACTAAACTGCTAGCAGCACTCTTGGCAAGCACGTGCAGGTTTGGGACAACCTTATCCACGGATTCTTCCGCAGAGGAAAAAGAATGTGAACAAAGAGCATGCAATGTACCTGTATTCATTTAACATACCTGCCTACAAGCCTGCTTTCAAAAAGAATGAACCAACAAACATACAGTTGGTGCAGAATTCCATAAACCCCCTTGACTGAAACACGCTGCTTCAAGAGGCGGTCATTCTGTAATTTAAATTAATTTTGAGTAGCAGGGAAAAAATGGTGACTTGCTAATAGCTTCTAACTTTTGATGGAAGACTGAACACATCTTGAGGCATGCAAGAAACAAGGATGTTAGGAGTCTTCGCGGAGAAATGGAGCCCTGCACTGCAATCCAGTGGTGTGAATGGACATTTACGACTAAAAGCTTTTCTGGCCAAAACACATCCATGAGGGGCAGGCATCCTTGATACTAGAGGAACTTCCTCCCTGATACCGCTGAGGAACTGCTGAGCTGCTGTGGCAAGTTACTTCACTGTTTTGTGCCTCAATTGCTTCATCTGTGAAAATAAGCAAACAAAAGAGAGACTCTTTGTAAAGCACTTTTAAAGCTTCTGATGAGCAGAGTCTGTGTGCGTAAGATGTTGGCACATGTGAACCCTGTTCTGAAGGTTTAAGTCATGCACAGGCTGTACTCTGGCCCTTAGTTTTCTATTTTGTAATGCACACATCCATTTCTCTCAGTTAAAATTAAGGCTCCCTTGTGGAAGACACAGCTAAAATAAGGAGCCTCACCACAGGAACCTGAAGTCTAAAGAGGCACAACTCCATTTCCAGGGAAATGAGAACAGAGGCACGAGGAAGTGCGTCATCATGGCGAGCTCACACAGCACCCCAGCGAGAAAAGGGCAGGGGTGCAGCCAGCTGCTTTGCCCCCACCACCTCGGGACCTTCGACATTTGCTGCAGATGCCACATTCCCCAGGGTCCCCTTCTTACCGACTGCAGGGGGCAGGGGCCCGCGGCACCACAGGGAGACACCAGGACTGGGCGCCAGGCTTCGTGATTAGAGAGGAAAGTAATGCTTTGAGATGCAGACTACTTCTAGTTATTCTTAACGGTGGAAAAATCTAAAGAGACTAGTGATACTTCTTACTTCTAATAAGGATGTGTTTACACAGCTTTTCCCCATTTTCCATTTATCTGTCATTGATCAGCAAGCCAGCTAACAAAGTCAGTTTGACAAGCCAAACCAAAACATCTGCTCCAAGCTGGGACAAAACAGCTGGAGGCTGATGCTTTGTGGATCATACCATGCAGACAAGGGGGCTGGCTTTTTTCCCCTCTGTCCTCCAACATATTTCTTTTCTTTCTCAGAAGCTACTCTGTAGGTCCAATCCAGTGACCCACAGTGTATTATGCAAATAGGAAACCCAAATACAGTCATTATTATCTCAGTGACAGTCTTTAAGGAGTATGAAAAGTATCCGACAATAGACACGCTGTTCTCCAAGGAGGGCGGGTGAAGAGAGGTAAGGCTATGACTCTGTCCAAAATCTTCCATTCGCCAGACACCCTCTTCTCCCCTTCCTTTGCCGAGTAGGGTGGTGCTTTGTTACGATCTCAAGCACAAAACACAGTGCCCAGTCCTGCCCATCCTGCAATAATCCAGAATGCATTTTTCCTTTCTTCACCCCACATTGCAGCTGTCATTTGTTTCTGAGGTTAAAACTAAAGAGGGAGAGGAGGAATCCCTGCAGTGAGAAAGCCTGACAGTTCAAATCGAATGCTTTGTTGTCAGCATCTCTCCACAGTTTGGAGGTGTTTCTCCTGCTCTGTCCGGATACCTTCTGATCCATTTGTGGGATGACACTGTCACATTTAAACAATTGCCCTGCACAGCAGGGATAGATTTTTCTGTTGTAACTTTGGTTCCATGCCCAAGACACACTGACTTGATCAGCTGAAAGTGGTTCCTTCCCTCTAAGTTCTTCCTAAATGATGCAGGTTCCCAGTTTATTTTTCTTCCCCTTTTGTAATTTCAACATATAGAATTTCATTAGATGCAGCATATATCATAGCTTTAGACAGGAACTGTCAGGTAACAAATCTTGAGTGATGGCTTTAATATACAAGGTGGTTGCAGTCTTGGCTACAGGTTGTTCATTGTTATACTCTTTAAAATAGGCGTAAACAACGTTCTCTTCATCAGGGGGGTGGAAGCATTTGCCTTTATAAGGATTTATCCGTGTAGTCGGGCACTCTAAAAATAAAAAAAAACAACACAGAACATCTGTATCAGATAAAAGTGATATAAGTTCGTCTACTTACCTATCCCAGCTGACAAGACCCAGTCTATCAATCAGAGAGCTGAGAAGGTCTGTTCTTACAGTTACCAGCATTGATCTTCTTCTGTTTGTCCCTATGAAAGGCACTTGCAAAAATTCTGGGTATTCTGCCAAGCTGTCCATTTAACTCTACAAAGTACAGCCCTCTGGTCAAAAAAAGCCCCCATGAACATCTTCAGATTAATAGTTACACACTAATTTCAATAAGTCATGAAGCAAAGCTGTCTAAAATTCACCAGTGACAGGAGACACAACAGCATGCGATGTGCTTTTCGTGTCACCGCAACCCCAGAACTTGGGCTAGTGCAGCAATGAGACAAACACAGACTGCTCCTCTTCTGAAGAAGTCTTCCGTACCTATGCAAAAGAATTGCGGTTCTCGGGTTTGAAAGCAGGGAAAAAGGGGCATGTTTTGTGTTTGTTCTCGCAGCAGTCAAGCCTACTTGGTAAAATTCCCAAGTGCAAAATCCATGCAGCCCAGACTTCCTTATGTGATCACAAATAAGCGAATGCATATATTCACAGGCACAGAAAAAATGCAGGTAGGAAGATCCCACATAACCAGGAATCAGAGAGCTTCTGGTCTGGATACTCTGGACTGCTGCACACTGTTTCGTTCATGCATGTCCTTCCTTATTTGCAAAGTACAGCAGTGAGTGCTGCGCTCTCTCTGGGAAAGAAAGAAACCAGAACATACCATCTGCAACTGCATTGCTGTTTGCTCTCAGCTAGTTAAAAGGAGGGTAAAGGACAAACTACATCACGGCACAAACAAAACCAAAGACCTCCCATCATCAGATGGCTCCCTAGGTACATTTCAAGGATGTGTTGTGCTTTTTATCTTCTGTTTTATCAAGGAACTGTTTGCAGTCTCTTATGATAAGGTTAACAAAGTTAACTCGCATCCAGTGGAAGTAAAGCAATTTTGCGAAGACCTCTGACACATTCTGGTAGTTCCAAGAACCAGAAATGCTGATGGCACACTCCCCATGCTGTGCTCACTTTGCTGAGCTACTTCAGAAAGTCAGTCACCTGGCTAGACAGGTGGTTTTTAAAGTGAACGGGAAACACAAATCAATGTTAGTTGTTCTCTTGGATTCCAGCCTCAAAAACATGACCTTGTTAAAATCCCTCTCAATCTTGCCAACAGCATTCCCAAATTGTTTCCATCTTGAACTTTCCCTGCGAGTACTGAGGTGTGAGGTGCCTGTGAAGGGAAACTGAGCGGATGAAGACTGGTATCAGGCAGGAGATGAGGAGCTAACAGCCTGCTTACCATTGCCTTGTTTTTGAGGAATTGCTACAAGACTTGATGCTCTGCACTTGTAGAGTGACTTGCCTTGGTAAAACACTCCACAGATACCATGCTTGGGCCTGATGCATCTGTCTTTACAGTTCAAGGGAGTTCACAGCAATACAGGTCCTCTGAAAAAGCATCAGGTTTATACATCCCCTTCTTACCTTGCCCTTAAGATTTATCCACTTTCATAGTCAATGTCCCATTCTCTGTGACACTGTATCTCCACCACTGTCCTGGCTACTTCCTCTGACCTTCAGCTCACAGCAATCCATCTTCTGGTTCCCTACATGACATTCATAGCCGAATACGCAACGGCAGGATGCCAAAGACGAAAGAATCATTCATCTCCTGGGTGGTCCTAGGAATGGCACAACACACCGGCAGGCTCTCCGGGGCTGTAAACCACATCCCAGCTCTCTCTGATACTTCTCGTCCTCTCTATGGGGAGCAGAATCACAAATCATTTGACCTGGACCCTCGTGCGCTCCCGCGGCCAGGCTCTGTGGAGCAGCAGTGCATCCAGCGAGCAAAACCCTTCTCATGTTGGTGCTGTAGTTCAGGCTCAGTGCATTTACACCAAAGGGATTTACACCTGCTAATCCTTAGATGTTGTTTAAAATGCACAATCTCCCATTGAAGGAGACTGGACTGGGACAGAGGAGTCAAGTCTTGAAACAGTCCCTAAGAGATCTGTGTAAAACCCCAGCAATGAAACTGGCCTCAGTGCCGCTCCGGTTTCCTTGCAGCTGTGACAGTCCTGCCAGCCCTAGAGGGGCCAGGAAAATGCTTACGTTTCTCCTGACTTAGTCCTACTCAGTGAACACCAGCGAGGAGTGCATCGAATCAGCAGAGAGCTCGTGCTAGATGTGACCCAGCTGACACATGCAGGTATGAGAATGACTAAAAAGTGAATAGTAATAAATCTGCTACAATTTCAGGAGGAACGTAGAGTTCTGAACTTAAAACACCTCATCAGCTTTTCTAACCAGACAACACCTGCCCCCAAATTAGGCCAAAAAAGCCAATGGTTTTGTTGTATTACTTTGATGGTCCTGATTCTTCTCCTTTTACCTGTGTGGCTCTCCCCTTCCAGCTTTGAGGTGACGGAAGAAATGGCTCCTCTGCAGCAAAGAACTGAATCTGCCCCTGAACACCCTGCAGAGCTAACCGTGAGGCAGCTACAAGAAGCTTTTTCTTAGCATGCAGACACTGAAACGTTACAGAGCACCCGAGATATTTTCACAGGCTCCACGACAAAGCGTTCATCAGCACTGCTGGAATTCCGATGTCAGAATAATAGGGTTTTGTTTTCTATTTTGGGAAATGCCTATTTCAAAAGATGCTGGTATATACCTGCAGTTCCTGAAATGTCAGGTGACTCATCTATGTTATGTCTCTAGTTCTCAGTTCACGTCCTTCCTGTTCCGTGCTGGCATACTAAAACTATGCATACAGCCTCAGGGAACATACGCGGACATTTCTATACTTGGACTAAGGATTTCCTATTCTAATTTCAATTACAAGTGGAGTAAATTTTTCATGTGAATCATCTTTTCCTTTTCTAATGAAAAAATGTTATATCCATAAACAAAATATTTCTACACATTTTTGTGGATCTTTTTGGCATTTGCATCTACTATTGAATTCAAACTTCTGAAGAAAAATCTTTCCAAAACTACCGCCAATAAAAAAATCAGGAAGACAACATTTCCTGATAAGTTCTAATATTAATGAAAATTTTAATTTGTATTTCTCAGGATGCATGCTCTCTGCAAAGACTTTACCGAATGCCCCATCTTAAGAGACAGGATTAGAAAAAAACTGCTCAGTAGTTTAATGTCAAGAATGCATTTTTAATCAAGGTGACCTAAATGGAGAAAGGCATATCTTCTGAGGGAGATTTACAAAGAAGGAATTTCTTATTTTCTGTAAGTTTCTTATTTTTTTCCCCACCATAACTGATACCAGCATTGGCAAAGCTAGGATGCATAAGCTTCTTACTAATTCTCTAGCTGTACCAGAAGAGGCAAATACTCAACAGAAAATCAATTCCACACCCATACAGACAGAAAATATAGGTGCAAACTGTATATACAGGAAATTCTGAACCTCTTATTGCCCCAGTTTTTCTCATATGCTTCACAAGGGCATTACTGTAGCTGTGACAGAAACTAAAAAAAGGAGAACAGTATAGGCAAATGAGACAAACTCATGTAGACAGGTTCTTGCAAATGCTACTGACAGTTCCAAGGAGTTTTTCAAGGTGCACCTTAAATCCAAGATTTTTTTTTTTACCCTTCCTCTAGGTTGGCTTCTTGTTTTGTACTCATGATTCTGTGATATAGCAAAAGACAAAGTCATATATTTGCTACTACTGTGTACAGTGAAGATTTTGGCTTCTTAAAATTAGCCTATACATAATTTGGCTGCGTCAGAAGACTTTCTGACTTTTTCTCCCCACTATGAATATGCGAGAAACAGTAACATCAAATTTTGTACAGCCCCAGCCACTCAAAACAGCTGCTCTGCTGTGTCACGGTTCCCAGAAATCCTGCTGCAGGAACATTGGTAAGTATGCAGTCAGAACTTAATCTATTTACTGCTCACTGGATCAGGGCAGTATGTTTTAAACAGGAGCACCTCTGTAATGATACTGGCCATTGTTTACCAGAGCCATGATCACTGATCTCTGTTCACATTCTCTGATTCTTTCCTACGGTTCATTCCCCATCCAGCCCCACCGCTGTGTATATTGCTGCCTCAGCCATGAAAACATTAATTTTGAGGTCTGGCCAGCCAAGGAGGCAGTGGATGACGTGGCTAGTTCTGAGAGTCGTCTTTGCATCAGCACAAAATTGCAAAAGAAATCCTTGATCTAGCTGAAATGGAGCACAAAGTAGGGGGCTTTTCCTTAGAGGGAGAAGAAAAAAATCACCAAACTGGACCTATGCCACTTAGTTATAATCAATACTTTGAATTGTACCTGAAAACACAAAGGCTGAGCTAGCACAAATGGTGTAAGGGCATGGCAAAACATCCTTCATATGCATTCTCAGCTTGCCTCAAAAGTGCAGGGCAGAAGAATTTATTCACTGACACAGCTCAAGTCGGAGCCAAGGAGATACAGTGAGAAATTTAATGGTATAGGTCTGTCCCCACACCAGAAGATTTTGTTCTGTCATTACACGTTGTTAAGTCTTTAACACAACATTATCTAGGCTATGTTCTGCTTCTGCTGTCCTGGATCAGAAGAAAGATCCTCCCAGCCCAGCATCCTTGCTCTGAAGGTGGCTAGGCACACAGGGAAAAATAGGAAGGCCAGGCACATTATAGCTCTCTGATTTATTTCTCCATCTTCACATTGCTTTTTGAACTTGGAATTTTCAGCTGCTAAGCTTGTTGTGGCAAAGACTTTACATCCTACATCATTAACTGCTGTGACGAAGACTTTACACATCTGACATCACTAATTATCAATTAACTATCAATCTAAACTTATTACATGATAATTGCTTGTACTGGAGGAGACAGTGAACAACAGCAATCCATCCATCCATCCATCCATCCATCCATCCACCCGCAACTTCTGGACCTCTCCCATATCTCCTTTTAACAGTGTCTTGCTTTCTGAGCCAGAAAAATCCTTCCATCTCTCTCTCCCCCTGCCTGTCTCTCAGCAGCTGAATGTTCTTTGTATCTCTCCAACTCCTGGGCACCCAGCTCTCCCTGCTACAACCTCCCGATCTGTTCTCCAGGTATCATTTCAGAGCCCAGCATAGTGTGTATATGGCTAAGATCACTGTCTACTGTCTGCATCACTTTGCAACACTGAATTTCAGCTGAAATTCCCTTGGCTATTTGACACCGTGAAATTCTCCTCCGCTTTTATTTTTACAATTCTGAATAGCACAGTATCACCAGCAAGCTCTGGCAATTCACTCAGTGTTCATCTGACTGCAACTCCGTGTGGCAACTCAGTAGCGCGACAACCATCCATTTTGAACTATTACAAATTAACAACGTCCTGCTGAGTCCTCTGACTCCAGACATACACAAGAACACACAAGGATGTGATTCTCAGCTCTGTGCAAGAAGGGCCTAATTTTGAGGAAATAAATAAATATAGTCTTACCTTTCCAAGAGGCACACTGACATCAAGGCCAAAGAATAAAGGCAAGAGAGAAGAACAAGAACAGAAATAGAAACTGCAGAAGAAAAAGAAGATTGCATAAAAACTAGACGTCATGGCACTGTAAGCATCAGGGTTATTTTTGCACTCTGTAGAACAATCAGAATAACTATGCACTCAGAAAACACTGTATTTTTCCTAGTGACTTCTGAAAGTATTACATCACCTCCCTGAATCAGAAAACAGATCTCAGTAATTTTGGTGATGAATTAGAATTGGCACCATATTGAAAGCCTGAGGTAGAACTCTTGCTATGAACCACCATGGGTTGACTGAAGTTACAAAGCTGGGTATCAAAAATAGTATGGACAATATCTTTAAGGGAATTAAAAAACTGTGCCTACAGTCCATGCTGAGAACAGCCTAGCAATATATATGTACACACATATACACACACACACACATAATGCCAAACCCTAACCATTAAATGTTTAATAACTGATTGACGCTAAAAAGTCTCCTATTTGAGGTCTCCATTTGACCACAGCATAAGTCTTGCTTTTTTGTCCTCATAACAGATTATCATCTGTTGTTTTTCAAAGTTATATATATTAGAAAGAAAGACACTGAGTCCTTGTATCACAAAAATACTGGCAGAAAAGCAGAAAGAATTATGTGTATCCAGTTTTGCACTATGCCCACTTGTTTCACTTTGGGAACATATACATAAACTAAAAGAGCTCATTAGCACTACTGTAATTGTACTAACACAGCCATTATTTCACATTATAGTTTACACTGGCATTTATAAATACATTGGTAAGGCTGCCACTGGAGATGCATCTTATGCCAGTCTGGCATTTCTAGCAGAGACACTATTGGCAGCAGTGTGCTGTGTCCAGGCTACAATCTTTTTTCAACAATCCTATCTGACCTATCTACAAGTAGCAAAACTCAACGTGACAGAGTTGGCCTTACTCACCAAAAAACCGCAGTGCATATTTTTAGAAATAGTGTCTGTGTGTATATATACAGCATATACAAAGAACATGCATATATAGCTTTTTGACAGTTTAGTTTAAGGGCAAGATTCTAGTACCGTATTTATACGACATAGTCAGTTACAAGCTTCAAAAAAGAGGACAGCGTTAGAACCCAAGTTCCCTAGTCCTGCCACATAAAGACAGTCTCCAAATCTTTAATTACCTTCAGTCCTTCCTGCTTGCTAACCTCACCTTGCCTTTAGTGGAAGTATTGCCTGTCTACCAGCACAGCATTTAGCAGCCAAGCAGAGGCTTCGTCATTCGGTACAGTATTATTCACGGTAATTATAAGTGTTTGGCATTGATTCCAAAAATTAAATGCTGCAGAGGAGACTAAGATTAAAGTCTGTATAGACTGAAACTGAGTTGAGAAGAAAGCATAGCAGAACACCACCAACAGGTCGAGCTGATTCAGCTAAACAAAGAGGTCATTGTTTTCAAAGTTGATCAGTGTGCTTCAGAAGCATACCAGAACCAACCTTTTCCTCCAGATCCTTAATTTGTCTCTTTTGGATGTCAGTTTTATCTTCTAAATCTCGGATCCTCTGCAAATCAGAAAAAAAAATCATCTAGACTAAATTCTCAGTGAATTTGCTCCACTGAACAAGTAACTTTAATATTACAAGTGCCAAAATCCTAGAAATAACAAATCCATTTCTTTGGCAGAGACAATCTTGCGTAGTACCGTAACTCCACCCACTAAACCTGCCTAATCACAACTTTATCATCTGTACAACTGCTCAAAATATGCCACTGCATACATGTGACTGTATCCTCCAGTGCTGGAAATTAGTATCATTAAGGGATCTGTTTCATATTATCTGTTTTATATTAATCCCAAGTTAAATAGGCAGAAAGTGTAAGATCATGGTTATATCAAGATTCATTAATATTTCTCCCACTTTGGTATGTTGAAAGAAGAGTAAAGTGCTATTATTTGAAATGAGAAATGTATACAGTACTACAAACATAGATTCTGTGGTAAGTGGGATATGTAACTTACTGAAAAGGAGTATTTTTTTTAGCAGAGCTAGGCACTTCTAGAAAAATTATGTAACGCAAGTTAAACTTTTGGCCCCTTGGGAAGAGAGATCCCACAGAATAGGTAACAGAACTACTAAGAATAACAAATGAGGCCTCGAATGTCTGTATCTTTTCTCTGTTTAGTCAGGGCATAAGACAGCTGACCAGCAAATAGTTGAGATCCCAAGGGGCAAAACCAGGAGACATCCGGAAAGCAGGCAGCATCCCTGTGACCATCTTCCTGACTGACCGGAGATGAGGTGACGAGCTTACAGCAGCTTTCAAACACTACCTCCTCTGTTCCTTGCCTCTCGGCCTCTCCCAGCCCATCTGCAAGTGAGGCTGGCAAAGAGTCCACCGAGGCAGCCAGAGCTGCTGTGGCAGTGCTGACCAGGACAGCAGTCATGGCTGAAATTAAGAAGCTCCTCATGTTGCAGAGGCCTGGGAAGAACCAGCAAGGGTGGACTAGTCTCAAGTCTCCAACTGAGGATCAGGCAGGACTGTGAAAGCTAATTCTTCCTGTGAATCAGAAATGCTAAGGACTGGATATATGCTTTCTGTTTTATTCCCATGAACATTTGAGTAAGTTTTGTTTCACTGTGCAGCTGTCACATTAATCAGCACATTGTGACCGTTTGCCATTTTGTTCTGGGACCCCACAGCTTGCAGAGCACCAAACACTGGTCTTTGAAAGTGAAATGTAGTGCTACATCTCGGCAGTGAAACCTCACAACTGCCCACTTTGGCGGGGAAAGAGCAGAATTGTCTGGAAGAACAGACAGCTCTCCCGTGGGACACAAGCCAAGAGTCCCTCTTGTGCCCAGGCCAGTAACTAGGGATGATATTTTTTATTTTTTTTTTTACAAAGCTAGATTCATGCAGACAGAATTCTGGATGAAAACTTTGGTTTGAAATTTTAAGACTCAAAATACACCAAAACAATCCTCCGCAAGCTAACATCACATGTGTTTGTGTACACAGTAAAGACACACAGTATGAAACAACTCAAAAAAATGGATGCCAGTTCCCTCATAGCCTGAATTTGCCCAATTTTAACATCAGCTTATGTTCTTGTACAGCAAAACCGAGTAGATACATGTGTGTAGTTTCCTTCTCTTACCTGATGAGCCTGCTGGAGCAGCTCCATCCTCTCCTGAAGAATCTGGCAATCGTATTCTCTGCTTTTCCTCAGCATCTGACGTCTTAGCTTTTCCACTGCTGTCCTCAGTTCTTCCTGCTGTTTTTCAGTGAGCAGTTCCCCAAACTTTATCACCGTTTCTTGCTGCAAAGCATTGTACAAGGTGGCTTCAAGCTCCTGGATCCTCTGGTTGAGGCAATACCAAAAGCCAATTAGAGATGAAACACTGTTTACCACACAGTGGGAACTGGGGGCTGGTGGCAGATTCAAGTGCCTGCATTAGACATGGCTCCTGTGCTCAAGTGTGCAAAAAAGTGACAAATAGAGCTCAAAAGGGCTCAGTGTTTCACTAAGAGGATATGAACTTCTATTTGTAAAATATTTTAATATTAATTTCCACTGAAATCTCTCACTTCGATCTTTTTTAAAGTAGTTACAGAGGGGACTAGGAATTGGATAGAATTTTTGTACCTATTTTGTAAGTGTAAAGATGAGTATCACACCATTCTAAAATTTTGACCCACTGTGCTAAAAGACAAGAGGATAGATTGAAGGTCATGGTCAGACTACTTTGCTCTTGTTCTTGTTAATCAATGTTATAACTTGACAAACCAAACATGATCAACTTGCACTGCCCATCATCAGACCTATGTATCAGAATTACAGCAGTGTTTAGAGCAGAACTCTTGCTTTTTGTGGCATGTTGTCTTCTTGCCATGACATGTCCAAAATAGTCAAGATTTCAGATCTGAGTTCCAGCTGGTAGCACTGACTCCAGTTGGTCAAGCCAACGTTAATGAGTAGTATCTGCCTTTAACCGACTGAAGGGTTTCCAACTTGAGATCTGCCATTTTGTGACATAAAAAAGCTGGGTGTCATGTTGAAACTGTGCAGATCACATGGTAGTGCATTAGAAGAACGGGGAAAACAAATAAATAAAAAAAGATACTAAGGAAGAAAGCAAAAACCTCTCTTTCTGATCCAACAGGAGCCTGTGTCCTGTCACAGTGCTGGCCAATACGTGCTGTAGCATTTCCTTCGTACATACCATGTATGCTTGGTCAAGAGCTTGCTTCCTGTAGTCTAATTCTTCCTCCAAATAGCCTTTTATTTTGCAAAATTGTTCCTACAATGAAAGATCATTTGAACAGAAAAATGCATTAGTTAGTCAAAATATTTGGGGAATTTTTATTAAACCAACTGTAGATATTTGACTCAGGCAAGACTAGGAGACTGGTCTTGAAGTGACACTGCAGAGTTATGAATATCTGACTCAGCTAGAAAAGAAGGAAGAGAAAATAGCTGTGGATTGCTTTTCTAGGATAATACATCTGATCTACATGGAACTAAACTCATCATCCCTTTGTTGACTTGAGTGATACCGTTTGGAATTTCAGTAGTGTAATTTAAGGGTTTCTGCACGATTTCCCTAAAGATATCTCCTCCAGCATCATGGACAACTCCTTTTGTGCTTTCTCCTATTTTGGAAGTGTGAAAATGCAATAAACTAAACAGAAACTACAGGCATATTCATGTCCACATTATTTGGGGGCAGCCGCTGTGCTTTAACTTCTCAGATTACGTTAAGCTGTATTGACTCAAGTACTGATATACCACAGGAACAGAATGTAAACCACTACAGCTATTCCACTCTTGTAGCTATGCTTGCTCAACTTGTAGGTTACCTCCACCGACTAGAACGAGAATAGGGTAAGGCACTAACTTTACTGGTGCCACAGCAACTTCAGTCGAGCTATGAATGTTTTGCCTTTTGGACGGTATGGGCTTAAAATGTAATGAAAGGAAACAGCATGGTAATTCACTAGTTTCCCACATACTGCTATTGAATAAAATGTGATACAATAACTGATGTTGGGACTGAATTTTATGAGACAAAGAGTGTGGTCGTTTACACTTCTGAAAATCACAGAGCAACCTTTGAGGCCTTAAACAGTCATCTTCGTGGAAAGAGGAAGTTTTCAAGCCTTCACTATTTCTGTTCCTATGCTATTCTGCTGTTGCATGTGAACCAGCCTAGTAATGATCTTATGGATTCACTCACTATCAGAAAAAGCCTGCATACTTCATTTTCCAAAAGACTTTTAAGTATTTTTTTTGGCACACCAAGTAAATGCGACACAGTCAGTGTCTTGCCCCTAAAATGCGTAATAGGAAAGTCTGCTTACCATATCACTTTCCAGTTCCATCATCTTCTGATGCAGAGCAGCTTCAGCTCCCTCGATCTGCTGGATCCACTGCAGGGAAGACAAGAAAAGCTGTAACCTGCTGTGTTTTCTAGGCACATAGGCAGTGGCAACTGGGACATCTACAGCAGCTTGTTAGTCTATTTTTAGTAACCTGTTGCTAGTTCTGGACTCATCTCGAGGCTATTCTGTAGCAGAGGCAGCCACAATGTCAGCAGGTAGCACTTGACAGAGAAGCAGCATTACTGGATCACTGGAAGCTGGAAAAGTTCACTTCCCTAGCTGGACAGGGAACCGATTCTATCCTGCGGATAAGGGCCCACGATGGGGTTCCAGAGCATCTCAAAAATAGCCTAGCTGGGTCAATGGCAATTCTCTTTGCAGAGGAGGAATTATTAAGTAGAATCCTTGGAAGCTGTCACATTGACAAAATCGTGTGCTGCCTTTGAGCCACAGAAAGCATTTTAACTAACCCTCACTCTCTTTTTAATTTCCAAAACAAGGAATTTAGGCACATACTTTCAGAGGAAATTTTGCATACAGATCCCTCCAGAAGCTTTGGAAATCTCAGGACTAAAATTCCCACACCGTAGTTAATTATGGCTTAAACATCGGATGCTTTCTCATCCAGTTTACAATTGCAAGTGTCATTTAACATTCTTTTTGTATTTGCAGTTGTTTTCACTTCACAGTTTGGGCCAGCTGAGTTTGAGATTTTTGCTGTTTTCGCAAGGTGTTTGGGAACTGTGCTGGCAGAGTTCACATTATCAGGTGAATCGCTTCCTGTGCTAGAAAGTTTGACAATATTCACAAAACCAACAGAGTAGGAAATTTCCAGTGTCAGATGAGGCCTTAGATAACACATGTGGAAAACAAGAACATAATTTACCTTTTCTGCCAAGGACAATACAGTGGAAGCCTGAATTATGGCTACTTGTTCTTCATTTCTTAAATTCTGTGAAGAGAAAGAGAGGGAAGAAGAAAATTGGCAGCAGTTTCCTGCATGAATAAAGATAATCCATGCTACAAATTAGGTCCACAGTTTTCAGGGAATCCCTGTAGTAGGGTGTGTCCTGTTCCCGTGGAAACGTTCCAAGCCTGTTTATTAAAAAGAGCACTGCTTCTGCCTTTCTGCATGATACAGCCTAACCACGTGTTTTCATTGCATCGCATCTTAGGAGAAATGTAAACCAAAATTAGACCCATTTGTCTATCTTCATGGTAGTTTTATAAAGCTGACTTTCCATTACAGCTTTTGTACAAATAATGCTGATTTACACTAGGGTGCGAGTAGACAGTCACAATCCTTTTTATTTCTTATACATTTTCTTAAAATATACCTAATGTTGTCCAAAGTATGATCTCTTTTACACGGATGACTGAAGTGGGCAGCACTGCTCACTTAGAAAGCAACAGGGAATTTGATAGTTCTTGCCTATTTACAAAACTGTTTGCAGAGAAGTCCTGGTCCTGAGGAAGATGTGGTTGGCTCAGGCTGTCAAACTAATTCTTGGGCTTTCCTGAGTGACCAGAGTGCAGTCAGGCCCTGTTCCAAGCATCAGCAGCCTTTGACCATTCTTCTGAGTCTGCTAAGCCAGATGTTAAGGCTGCTAGTCTACTACTAGTTCTCAGACTACTGAATTCTCACAAATCCTTAACTTACTGAATTTAATACTCCTTAAATCAATTGTTCTGGTATTACATAATTTAACATCTTAGAAAATAGTCATGATAATTACAGATTTCACATACTCTACTGTAAAAAATGCAGCTTGTGAAGGGAAAGTATCTCTCCCTTGACTTACCCCATTATCACCTAGGATGTCTAGCTGCTTTATGAGGTCTGGGATGCTGACATCCTGCAAAGAGAGGAAAATGTAAAGACATGGCATGCACAGTTTATCCCGGAGCAATATTCGTCTCTCCTACGACCCATACTGAAATAAACTATTTTTTTTTATCCCATGGAAATGCATCACGCACTGATTTCAGTTGCCTCTGAGCCACATTTTATCATTATGGTGAAAATTCAACTGTTTCTGTCATCACACATTCTTATGTTAGATTGAGATTAAATGATTAAAGTTCAGTGGAGTTATTAGCAGAGATGAACGTAACGAGATATAAGAGCAGCATTCACCACTCCTGTAGCTAGAAGTGCAGCCTTATAAAACTGACGCACCTTAACCCCTTCCTTCATGCAGTAGATCTGTAGAGCACTCACACCATCTGAGAATGGGTGAATCTGGAGATTAAATGGTGGAGACCGTCTCTCTCTTTCCTGAAAATAAATTGAAAAGATGCCAAAGAACATACTAGAATGAAGGAGGTTCACACAGAACTCTTTAAATGCCATAGCTGCTGTTTATATCATGCTTCGTGAAACCAAGCTCTTAATTTTACAAGTCAAGGAAAGAAACATTTAGACCTAGTCTGAAAACCAGTGTGATAGGATCCTAAACCTGAGGCAGTAATTTTACAGGAGATTATTTGACGAATTATGTTAGTTTGCAAATTCTCTTTGGAAAGGCTGTCACCCAGCTAAGACTCAAGTGATTTGCTTAATGGAGTATGGAACAACTACATACTGTTGTAAATACTCCCTTTAGAAACCAGTATTTAACTTAAGACTACTATGGTGCTCAGATTACACATTTGCTCATCCTGGTATGTTGTATGTTCTAATACCTGCAGAAAGTAAGAAGTTCAAAAAAGCTGATCAACTTAGCTATTTATTCACCTTCATTGCATAAAATATAGAAATATTTGTTCAGTTTTAAAGGACCAAAGACAATAATAAAAATTTTAAGATATTATTTCTCATCCATTTCAGGTATCCAGGCAAGCACAGAAGTGAAGATCAAATTTCACTTTAAAATATGTTCTTGGTTTGTGAACATGTAATTCAACTTTATCAGTTACACAGTTCCGTGTAATATGGAAATACAGCTGCTTATTTGGTTAATTTAACTAATTTCTGTTGATTTTAGTGGACTTCAGGCCAGTAATAAGAACAAAGTATGGTGACATCAGACTGCTCCAAAGTACCAGAAAAAAACATATTCACAGGTTACTGAGCTTTAAAGCACCAATCAGCTAAGCTTATCTAGGCACACACTGGGCAGCCCGCCCAGCGAGAGGAGAACCAGTCTGTGGGGGACGGCAGCTGGACTGCTGGTAACGTGGCGTTGGTTGAAGACATTGACCTTGACAAATTCCCAGCGCACCCTTAAGATGGGAAGTTGTGGGCACTGAGTTTGGACACATTTGTGGAACTTTCTCCCTCAAGATCCGGGGGGATGAGCCCAGACAGAAGCTGCCAATTGTAAACCAATTAGAATGTGAAAAACAAGTGTTTGACCTATAAGCAAAGGCCACGCTACCTTCTTCTAGTACCTTCGACTGTGTATAAAAGGCACACCCTTTCTGTAATAAAGTAGCCATCTTTGAGCCATTTTAATCACCACTCAGATGTGACGTGTCCGTCTCTACGACGACACCAGTCAGGTATAGAACTTACTATTTCCAGGATATTAAAGCCAATATACTTCAGCTCACAATTAATGCTGACGATCTGCTACTCTGTTATATCACTATAATGTTTGCGTAAAAACTTGATCCAAGTTGGTGTCCTCTGCAAAAGCACTCATTTAATTTGCTACCAGCTCTACTGTAACGAGCTCATGCATCACCTCCAGCTCCAGGTTGCGGAACTCCAGCAGCTCATTCTGATCTCGGGCATCCTGCAGCTCCTGTTGCAGACGGTTGTTTTCTGCTTCCAGTTTCTCTATCTAATAGAAACATGTAAATTCAGGATCTGTGTAACTGTTACAAGAAACATTGAATATTTGGTGAATAGTAGTTGAGGTAGCACAGGCAGTGCAAAATCCAAACTCTAGTGCTAATCACTACTTGTTGGTTTACCTCAATGAGTCTTTATTTTACAAGTGAACTTCTGCTCATCACCTTCCTAAACTTGGGAACATACCTTGTCTAAAAGCTCTTGGTTCCTCTTAATGAAAAGCTGTTTGTCTTCCACCCAGTGCGAGTCCTGTTGGATGAAGCAGTACTATTACAGAATCAAACGCCATGAAGTTGGGCACATTTATTGAAAATCAGAGCCACAATATTCAGGCTTTAAAATTCTACAGACAAACCATCCTTTACAGAGTAACAACATAATAGTCTACCAAGCTGTAGCAAGCCTTCTGAACTCACTAAACCTGCCTGCTTCCTGAACAGCAATGTTACATCTCATGCAAATAGTGCTAGGTGTTTTGTAAGCAGGGCAGGTAAGATCTGAAAAAGGAAAAGAAAATACATGGGAAGCGCTTACCTGCCCTTTCTGTGCCAAAGTTTTCTCCAGATCTTCTATTTTGGCTTTATATCTCTGAACTTCAGCTTGGAGCTGCTCTTGAGCCTGTTGAAGCAATGCACAGCACTGAACAGTAATAAACCCAGCAAGTGGCTGGCATTAAAACGAAACCAAACACAGCATAGTCTGGGATTATGCTGTTGCTTCCACCGAGGGAGTAACGACTACGAAGATTCTGGCTCAGTGACGTTCTGTGCCACCCCTAGGCAGAGGGCACACAGAAACAGAGCAGTAGGTCAGCCCCCTCTGCCCACCCAAGCCTATTATTACCATTAGAGCAGTGAAACACAAGCTCAGGTATTCAGGTTACAGCCTTTGCTCAAAGACCCTAGTAAGGGGCAGTCGCTGAAGTGAACTGAAATACTTAGTAGATAAGAGTGGCAAAAGAATCATAGAATTGTTTGGACTGGAAAATACCTTTAAGATCATTGAGTTCAGTCGTTAACCTAACACTGCCAGGTCCACCACTAAACCATGTACGGCATCCTGGCTTGTATTAGAAATGTTGTGACCAGCAGAAGAAGGGAAGTGATTGTCCCTCTGTACTCAGCACTGGTGAGGCTGCACCTTGAGTGTTGTGTTCTGTTTTGGGCACCTCAGTATAGGAGAGATCTCGAGGTGTTGGAGCGAGTGCAGTAGAGGGCAACAAAGCTGGTGAAGGGCCTGGAGAACAGACCTTGTGAGGAGCGACTGAGAGAGCTGGGTCTGTTCAGTTTGATGAAGAGGAGGCTGAGGGGGGATCTCATCATGCTCTACAATCACTTGAAAGGACCTTGTAGAGAGGTTGGTGCTGGCCTCTTCTCACAGGTAATTAGGGACAGAACCAGGGGGAATGGTTGCAAGTTGCAACAAGGCAGGTTTAGGCTGGACATTAGGAAGACATTCTTCACAGAAAGAGTGGTTGGTCAGACCCTGGAACAGACTGCCTAGGGAGGGGGTTGAGTCACCATTCCTGGATGTGTTCAAGTGTCATTTAGATGTGGTGTTGGGTGATCTGGTTTAGGGGTGACCTTGTAGTGTAGGGTCAATGGTTGGATTGATGAACCCAACCTGAATTGTTCTATGATTATGATTCTATGTCCCTGAGCACCTCATCTACTATTTTTAGCCCCGGAAGGTATCACAGAACCACAGAATGTTGGGGGTTGGAAGGGACCTTGAAAGATCATCTAATCCAGCCCCCCTGCCAGAGCAGGATCACCCAGAGCAGGTCACATAGGAACACGTCCAGATGGGGTATGAATGTCTCCAGAGGAGAGCTAGTATGGAGGTATGCCGGAGTCGGCATCACATTCAAATTTGAATGCAGTTTGCATTTCTCAGTTAGAAACATTTAGGTGAATGTTATTAAAACTGGTGCAATATCTGCCTTTGTGAAAACCCACAGGCCTCCATTTACCTTTAAAACCCAACCTCTTCAGACCTGGGCAAAAGATGAGAAAATCCTTGTGGTTCAGTGTCAAACTGCAGAACTGCCTGCTTTGACACGCCTGCCTAACTGCAGAGTTCTCACGTTCAGATGGAGAACGGCCCCTTACAACTGAGCGACTGAGTCCACTCTTAATTGTTACTCAAATGAGCGAAACAGACATCTCAGTTGTATGGATGTTGTATGCAACTTCATTTCTTCGTCACTCTGAGGGGTTTCTATGTTCTGATCGCAATGAAATACTTTTAGCCTCAAACAACCACTGACCTTGGCTTCTCTTTCCGCATCTATGACGCCTCCTGTCTGCTCCTGCAGTAGTGCGTATGCTCTCTGCAGGGCCTGGTACTCCTTGGTCAGCTGTCGGAACCGCAGCTCTGATTCTTCAGCTGCTAAACCCTGAAGGATAAGAAAGGACATGTCTAACCATCAGACAGCAAAGCGCTGCCAAACCAAAGAATGCAAGTCTTGCATAGTTGGTTAACAGGTCTTGATTCAAACAGCTTTCTAGTGAGCTTGACTGTGATATGAAGTATTAAAAATGTGACATTTATACAGTGCTTTTATGTCTTTAAGCTAAAAGAAATCTGATAGAGTTATTTTCTTGAAGGGGGAGGGGAAAGTATCTCAGACTGCAATGAAGTCATAGCTATAGCCTCGACAGACTAGAATTTGTAAGAACTCAGCATTTCAGTATATCAGTAACTAAAACTGAGGGCGAACTTGATGAAAAACTTATCACTCAATATGCATCACAAAAAAAATGAAGCGTTTTAGAGAACATGGTCATTTGTTTTGCAAGTCAAAGTCTTTGCCTATGGAAAGTGTCAGATCTTACCTCATCCAGATCATCATCTGGGGTTGCTGGTGTTCTGTCTGTTCTATATGAGGCTACAGAGGATGTTTCAGAGTCCATGGAATCATCATCGTACCCAAAAAATGTATCAACCACATGTCTCTAAACAAGGGAAAACATGATTTCAGAATCTCCTTGGAAACAAGTAGCATGAGTTTCTGATGGCGGGACGGGAAAGGTTAGTTCAAAATCACTTTCCTAGTTACTTAAAATACGCAAGACATGGAAAAGAGCATTGTGCTAACCCTGCAATTACCATCTCCAAACAAACCCAAAGGGAACCATATTGAAGATTAGGTCTTGTGCCGGTGGAGAATGAGCGCTGATTGATTTTTCTGAGCTGAGGATCTGGCTCAGTCTAAAATTTGGAAAATATAACAGGAGCAGCCGACATGCTAAAGGAAGAGTCTCTGCCTTGTCTAGAACGCAGGAGAATTGTTAACCCCAACACTGCTCAGAAGCCATCTATCCACCTGCAGACTGGTGTGCAAAGATAACACCACAAAGAGCTGGAAATGCATGCAGAACAGGGAGCCCTCCTTCTCATCTTGCAGACACTGATGATAATTTTAGTATCTCAGTGCTTCTCTCACTCATATTTCTGTTGGAGTGAAAGCTACGCTAATATAAACTAGTTCGAAGGAACTTCTTTCGTGTCCTAGAGTAACTGTCACAGGTTGTAAGAGACTGCTCATACTACACAGTTTAGTTGTATGTCTGAATCCTCACTATTTCCAATCTCAGTAACTGGATTAAATCATATAAAGACTGAGCCATGTCCTGTGAAGGTATAGATGCTTGACCTTGTATGCTTGGTTTCAGAGTATGGATTTAAGCATTTCAATATTTGACTTATGAATAATTCTGCAGACAAACTGATCAAGGAGTAGTTAAGATGCACTTCTACTTTGCCATATTCTTCACTTTTGCTGACAGGTTACAACTTTTTAAACCTGGAATTTAAATCACACAAAGAACATGTACCAAAGATGACAATAATATTTTGCATATCTTTTTCTTTTTCATTATTTTTCCAAGGGAAGATAACAGCCATGTTCTCCCATGTTATTATATCTGTCTTAGTAAAAAACTTGACTGATAAAAATACTTTTTAGTTCTTGTCACCCAGTTATGTCTGCTGTGTATTGCTTCAAAACCCATACAGAAACAACGTCATGACACATGCAGGATTTCCTGGTCTGAAACTCATTCTGTGTAGGAGAGTTGCATTACTTTCACAGAATATGGCTGACGTACTATAGGATGTCCTCAGAGGACAAAGAGCAACCAAGCTCAGTCTCCTACACAGTATTTCCACTTTCTGGAGGTTGGATGTGGCTGTTGCAAAGTTATTCTTCACATCTAGCTGATAAAGGAACTATCTGACCCGCTGCTGCCTATTCAGCTCTAAAATTGTTGTAAATGGTACCATCTTTGGACTCGACCCAATTCAGGGTAATACAAGGGGTAGCCAAAAGGCCTGAACAGGAGAGAATGACACTTTCTCAGGCAGAAGCTTCCACTTGAAGAATAAAGATGCACAAGGATTTTGTTCTAGTCCATATGTGCTGTGAAAAATAGCAGAAGACAGATGGGAAGGTCTCTGGAAATTTAAATACATCTCAGCATAATAGACCTTGAGACAAATAGTCATAGAAACCAGACAGAAGGAAGATTATTGCTATTTCAGAGAAGGAAGATTATTGCTATTTCAGAGAGAGGTGAAGAAGCCCCATTTTGCTGAAAATAAAACAGCTATGTGCCCGTAACTGAATTTCAGAGTGGACTTAAAAAGCTCTCCCAAAGTAACTAAGGTGTTTGTAAACTTGATCACTAAAGCAGATTGTTATAATCCACAAAGCTCTCTTTAATCAGATTGCTAAAGTGTGTTTTCCTACAGAGCCTACTAGCATTTTTTAAGCTGAAAACAATTTTTCCTCTTACCTTAATTGGCTTTGAACTCCTTTTATGCTTTCTGCGACGAATGAGTTTCTCCCTGTCCTGGAAAATAAGATTAAAAAGTTACTCTCTCTTATCTTGCTTGCAGCTGTAGAAGGCTAAACCTACAGAGGAAATAAGCGACTGGGCTTCCACTGACTCTCTGCTCATATGTCCAGCCAGGAATCTGATCCCAGCTGGGAGGGAGGATTCACACCCAGCTCTGTGCATGTGTCAGTTGAAAACCACTTGAAGGGAAGACGGGATATGTGAAAAACCCACCACCCCAGCCCCTAGCTGTGCAGTTGCTTTGACAGGCTGTCACAGGACAATGATTTCCTGCTAAAAGCACTGGAAGGCCTGCTGCAGGGGACTGGGCTGGGCTGCCTGCCTGCCCTGCAGAGGAGATGCTGCCTCTGTCTCAAAGTCATTACAGGACAGCAGTGTTCATCTCATCCCTCCTTGCAATGGTGTATTAGAAGAGGCAAGAGCCTGCTTTGGAGTCTCTTTCTCCTTCCCCTCAATATCATAATGCAAACTCAGCTACCAGAGGGATTGTCAGTATTAAATGACAGAAGAACTAGTGAACCACTCCAGCACACGCTTTTCCAGCACATGATATCACACCGCGTGCCTGCCTCCTGTTAAGGAAACTTTTTAATGGCAGCTTGGTAAAGGGTAAAAGGGCTTGGCACAGCTCTGTCACGTGGGCACGGAGATATGTTCCCAAGCTCCACAGTTCTTAGTCTGCAATCGTATCTAGAGGCTAATTCACACGAGTTATACTTTTGAGCTGTAAGGGTTGATGCCCCACTAGGAATTCATTTAACTGCATCCATGCATACCAACACCTAAAAATACCTAAAATACCTAAAAATTTGTAGGTCCTCTAGTTAAATGAAGAAATACTCTCAGTGGTGAACTACACACAGGAATCATTCCTAATTTCCTGCTGGTCTGGACATACCCTTGTTAGCTCATCAATTATGTTCTGTTGTTCTATGACCTGAAGCTTCAAGAATTCCGTTTCTTGTTCCTCATTAGCCTGATCCAGATCATTGAGAGATTTTAATTTCTTTAGAGGAGGATGCGATGTGATTTTTTCTCTCTGTGGTAGGAAGAACAAACAGACACAATAAGATCCAGCAATTAAGAAAAAATATCACCTTTCAGTTAAAAATTAGACATTATCTTTCATTTAACCTGTATAGCCCTTTAAATATGCTTCAGCTACACCATTTTTGTAACTTTATTAACACCCATCAGCACTTCTTAATAACAAAGCAGCACAGCAAGGCCAAGTTCTTCAACCAGAACAATAAAGCTTTATTTACTTACTTACTTATTGAGTGACAGTATAGCCTCTAGAGCAGCTATAGTATATGACCTTAAAGGTCATATACCATAGCTCTTCCTTTGCCATGCATCGAGATGCCCCAACATGTGGCAAATACAGCTGAACCCTTTACCTGCCCAGTGGATTCCAAACAGTACCTACTCCCGTGGCCTCACTCCCTTACTAACACCCATCACATGGCCATATGCAGAGAGGAAATGGACACGCTGCAGTCAGGTTAAAGACAGGCATCCAATCAGAAGAGAAGGCAAAAAAATGCATCACCAGATCTATTTTTAAGTAGAAGACCACATCCTGCTTGCTCCTGAGTGCACGTGGGAGAAGAGATGGCTACAGCCCACGAGAAGGACTCTAGATACCCACAGCTTGCTAACTTCCACAATTTGGGCATCCACAGTGCAAAGAGCAGCTGCTGGGCAGCTAAGTTAGAACATACGTGCTGTGTGCGCCGGCAGGCGCTGGTGGTGCTGCTCGCTGGTATCTAATGCCGACAGATTCCCAAATCCCTTCTCTTTGCTGTGGTCTGTACTACCACAGCTGTGGAAGAAGAATCCTGACCTGCGACACCTGCAATAAGTTTATCTGTTTTCTGGGCATGGGTGAACTGCAGAGTCTTAAAGTAGATTAACCTCGTAACACTAAAGCCTTTTTTCTATAAGATAAGAAAGTGAATCTGATTGTCTCACCCTAATTGCACCCACTGCAAACAGCCAGCCTGTTCAACATGACGAGGACAGCGGCTACCACTAGACAGAGGCGAGACACACAAACACACTTAAGGGAAGTCTCCTCAGCCTGCCAGCTTACTTCTAGCAAGCCAGAACCTCCACCTGCTTTCACGTTTAACACCAAAGCAACACCAGCGCATGTGTATGGGCTGGATTCCGACTGACACTCAGGGCAATTCCATTCAAAGGATATACAGACGTAACCGCTTTGACTCTGCTTCATACAATCCTGATATACGAAATTTATAACCCTAGACAAATTTCTAACACCACCATTCTCCCTTTCCCAAATCTATCTACCATGCATATGTTTTATGGAAAGATTGTCTGTGCTCAGTGGCAGATCAGAACTTTGTCATCATTAGTTCTAACAAGAACACGTACATTCAAAGATGAACATCACACTGGATGAAAATATCACTCTTAACAGCTTCCTTTTTGAGCTCTAGATGGAAAATATGCAAAACAGCACAGTGGAATATGACCAAATGATATGAATTTTTATTTTTTTCAGAAAACTGAAACTCAACACTCTAATAAACAATGTTATAAGTCCATTATATACAGACCTAATCATGCCTATATCTTTTTGATAGTATTACAGTCTATATACAACACATTTTTTCTATATATATATACATGCATACATTATGCAGTCACCATAACAGACATAGATCATACGGTAATCCTCATTTTGGTCTTCAGTACCAACCATTTCTATATTTTCTTTAGTGACAGCTTTGAGTTTATCTTCCATGCGCTGCAAAGACTGCATAAGTTCATCATTTCTCTTCGTGAGGCACTTGTTCTTTTCCAGAAGTGGTTTACATTGTTTCTCAGCTTCTCGGACACGCTTCAACTAGATTGATAATAGCAATTAATAATTTAAAAACATCCAAATAAAAGATACTTTTCCTCCCTCCTTTATTAGAACTATTTTTTTTACTTCGCTTGGACTACTGTCCCAGTGAAATGCCAAAGAGATCTAATGGAACTGAGGCTTACAGCTTCCATAACTTATTTTATCTATAAAACTCAAAGCATAATTCTGCATATCTGTTTCTGAAAGACATCTTTGTGCGTGGGAAAATATGACGTGAAGATGAAGCAACCCAAAAAACAGTCAGGCAACTGCAAAGCTGCTACAAAAGTCCAAAATGACTTGTCTTTATCTACAAGAAACCCACAGATTTTCCCACTGAAAGACTGACTTGCATAGGTACGTACTTAGAGCAATAACTACATAGTTGTATTTTAATGCCACACGGTGAAATAGCTGTGCATACACTATCATATATTTGTGCATATTTAATCAAAAAATCACATACCATTCAAATAACAAGTGCCCTAAGATCAGAAATATCTCAGGGCATGCTTGGGAGTTCCAGTATTGGTACAATCAGAGTTTTAACCTTTGTTTTTCTAAGGGAGGACAACGAAGGCAGCACCTGGCTGTGGAAAGACATCATCTTTGTGCCCAGATGATTTAGAATCATAGAATCATTCAGGTTGGAAAAGCCCCTTGGGATCATGAAGTCCAACCACTAACCCTACTCTACAAAGTTCACCCCTAACCCATCTCCACCAACACCACATCTCAACGACCTCTAAACACCTCCAGGGATGGGGACTCGACCACCTCCCTGCGCAGCCTATTCCAATGTCTGACGATTCTTTCCGTGATATTTCGGTTTTTTAACCTAACAAAGGCACTGTCCCTGTTCTGCATTACTGTTCATCCTTGTTCTGGACATTCCTGGCCCTTGCAGTTCTGCTGAAAAAAGAACTGGGAAAGTTTTCTGTAGCTATTAAGGACAGTTAATCACATTTGCTTTCATCACCACATCAGCTTACTCGGCTATTTAAACTAACCTGTCTTAAGCAGGTTAGCAAGTACCTGAAGATCCCTTCTCCTAAAAGAAAAGAGGGAAGCAACTAGGAAGTGGTTACATCTTTGATCAGCACAGTTGTGAGTAAAACAACCATTTGTCCTACCCTAAGAATGAAGTTAGTTGTTGCTAGTCCAAACATATCTTAAAGTGTAGGGCTTTTCCAGCAAACACATTTAATAACATGTGGTCGTTGTAGTCACATTTGCAAGATACATCTTAGAAGTCTTTTACTTTTTTCCTTGTATAAAAATAAGCTGAATATTCAAGGACATGCAACTGCTAATCAAGCTGACTCAGACTCCAAGCTACTCAATACCACAAAAATTAGGGCCTTGAGAGCTTTTCATAACTGAAGAGACATGTGAACATATTTGTAATCTTCAATCTTGATAAGACACTATTTTGTAAATATTGTGTTAAGAACACTGAGGAGATACAAGTCAGCTAAACTGATACAAAGGAGTACATTAGGACTCCTAGCTCAGGAATAAATAAAGAAGTGTCAAGAGCTGAATTCAACACCCTAATCCTTAATCACAGAAGTAGAAATACGGAGAGGTAAAAAAAGCCAGGGTGCTGACTTCAACACATGGGTATCACTACCTAGGAGTAAGTCAGATAAAGGGTTCAATGCACTGTTGTCCATTCTCTCTAGATCCGATACTTAACTGTTCTCAACCTGGTCAAATACTGGACTAGAGACATTATTTCATTAGAAGCTAAGTATCGCCATACACCGCTGCATGCTCGAAAAGTCAAGGAGGGAGCAGAAGCATTCATATGGAAGGCTACATGACTTTCTGCCTCAACTTTGTTGAGATTTTGTACTCATATAACTTCAGTGAAATTATTGTTTAAACCTAGGATAAAAACTCAAGCCTCCTGAGTGGCTAGCCCCACGGACAGAAAAGGCACATTCATCACCGGTTATCATCCTTGGATCCCCTGGTCTTTGCCTTCCCCAGGGCACCCAACCTCCTGTCTGACAACACAAAGCTCACACACCAGTTCGCTCCGTTCATCAACAAGCAATGTGTTCCTGTCTTCCAGCTTCCGGATCGTGGCATTCAGCTCTGCTATCCTCTTCTGGTTTCTGCGCAAGTCCTGTTCATTGGCAATAACATAATACATTTACTGATTCTTTTCAAAATACACACTTGGGAAAAGAATCCTTGAGCCCCCTGACCGGTCAACTTAAGCTGTCACCATCAACAAATTATATTTACAGATTTTTACAGTATTGAACTTGCTGGCAAAAACGTATGTATTTTTGAAAGAAGGAGTCTGGTTTGGGGGATAGCTTAGTTGAAAATTTTCAGCTGTGTAAAAAAAATAAAGAGAAAACAATGAAACAAATGTTGTTATCTTTTAATGATAGGGAAGAAAAAGCAAAAAGCTAAAAGTTCTAACTTTTATTGCCTTTTCCTATACATTGCTTCTGTTTGCTGGCCACTATATCAGGTGAAAAATAAAGGATATCCCTTTCAGTATCAATTACGTTTACTGTCTTATCTCTCATCTGTATATGTGTGAATACCTATAAACACACACATTTGTTGTGTAAACATCATATATTTAGTCAACCACCAGTGAGTTGCATGCTTCGTGAATGACAGCAAGGGCTCTAGATATGGAGAATAAGACAAAGGAGGATCTGCTAAGAGTCTCTCGGATTCCCCCTGCTGCAGCCTTCTCCCCATTCTGTCTGGTTTTGAGGGCACACTATTCAGGTGTTATGTTCATGGGATGATTCTCTCAAAGAAGCTCTAATTATTTAAGATGTTTTACGTTTGCAAACAGAGCAACTGAGGAAACAGCCCTGCAATACTTTGTCCCACTAGCATTGTCTCTAAAGAACCTGTGGACATTACTTCTCTGTAGCGAATGAGGGCTGGAATGTTTTCCAGGGCCTGAGAAAACATTTAAGCAAGAGAAACACAGCCATGTCCCTGTTTCACAGGGGCTGGTAAAACCTGCGTACAGGGCTGCTGCAGTGCTCCGAACCATCTCCAGCCCTTCCTGGGATCTCTCTCTTGGGACTGCTCATGTTACACTCTGCCTCCTTCACCAAGAAGAGCTGTTCATCCAGAGCTTCCTTCTGCAGCTGCAGCTTCTGCACGTAGCCTGTCTGTGTCTCCAGTTCCTTCTCCAAGGAAAATATGATCCTGTCTTTAGCCTTGATCTCGTCCATCTGAATAAGAGAAACACCAGAAAAATGGTATTACCGTAAAAGCCAACAGAATTTCAGCCTTCTCCAATCTAGTGGCACATGATTTAGCTAACAGCACTGTTCACCATTTGCTGTATCTGCTATATCACACTGCAGCAGGCTTGCAAAGAAACACACTGCGAGGTTTCAGCTGTAACCATATATTGGCACGGTAGCAGATCCACCAGCCTTACACAGACTGAAGCCCAGGAACTGAGCATGGTGTGATGTGTTAACAGAACTGGATGAAGAGTTCAGGCTTTCACATTGCATTTTGGTCATTTATACTAGTGAAAATACGTAAAAACTCTGACAATTCCCAAAAAGCTCATGCATATGGAGCTACATTAGCTGAGACAGCAGAAGTTACAGCCTAATTCTTACAAACAGAAGATCTGTGCAGATCAAGTATTTCTTAAAGCTGAGTGCAATGCTATTAATATTCTGCTGAATGCAAACTCAAGGTTATTTATTTTGTCATTACTTCAATAACAATATCTTTAATATCCTAGTAGCCTAATATCCCAGGACTGTGTAATTCTATGATTCTAAAAAATTCTATGACTGTCCAAGACAAAAAGAAATGCCTCTCATTTCATCTCACAGTAACTTTAAGAGTAACGGTCAAGAGGTAAATTTTGGATTAAAACTTTGAATAAGATCAGCCCATATAAGCCTTGTAATCATAAAAAATGATGTAAAACTGTTAATGTCATTGAGCTTAAGAAAATTTGATGAACCAGAATTTGCAAATCACTCTGACAAAATAAAAGTTCTACTATCTGTGGTTGATATGAACCATTCTCTGAAAACAAAAATGGTATCTAAGATAAATTTTGCCTGCAGCTGGCAGAGGTACTTTCTGGTCTTGCAGCTTTCTGGGCTTGATGAAATTCTCCTCAAAGAATTTTTCAGATGAGTAGGGCTGGATTCTGATCTCCATTAACTAGATGTCAGTCTGATGTAATTTCCTCCACTCTACAACCCAAACGATTTGGAAACCATTTGTCTAAGTCAGATTAAAAAAAATTCTGGACTTATCCAAGGTTCTTATGTGAGTAAATCACCTTAAAAAAGCCTTTCACCAGTTACTAAAGATAAAATCATACAATACATTGGTGGAACTCAAGTTGATCTTTATGTTAGTAAACTGCTCAATTTTACCCTGAATTTCACAATACTTCCTTTTTATATTAAAACTCTGAAAACAGAACCTCAGCTTCAGGTGAGGAAAAAAAAAAGCAGTTTGTCTTCATGGCTACACAGAGCTGCAAATGGGGATCAAAGTCAAAGGTCAAAATTCAGAAGGCAGATATGAAGAAATCCACTACTAGTCTGTACGACATTGTTGGGCATTTTGGCAACACAAGAACATACAGTTTGTACATTGCGCATATTCTCCAGTATACAGACTTTGAATTGGAGGGGGAAAAAAATCCCAATTATTCTCGACAGTTTAAATTACCATTTCTATTCATTAACTGCCAAATTTTGAATTCGCTTTCAATCCAAACCTTCCACAGTTGCAAGCAGGGCCAGCTCCCTGGACAACAGGGAAATGTGGCAACTTGCATCATTGCTGGTGGGGGTCTCATTTTGTCCATTTCCCCCAGTAATTACCGACGGCCATGCCAGGACCAAAGCAAAAGATATCTCCTCTCCTGACACGGTTTTATGTGTTTAGGATACCATCACAAGGGCTAGAGGAACTAACAACCTGCCAGGGCAGATGCAAACACTATTTCCCTAACAGCCTGCATGGCACATATGGGAGCACCTCCACGAGCCAAACCCTCACGGGCCAGGCCGGTCGCTCTTGATCTTCAAGGCGTTAGGTGCTGTCACAGGGGTTGCTCTAGCAGACTCACTGCCATCTATTTACTGCTGGGAAACGACAGTGCAAAGTTTATAATACTCTTGCAAACTGAGGTGCATTGCAGAGTTCTACTGTTCACAAAAAGCTAAGAGGCACAAGGTGCGAACTCGCTACAGCATAAGAGAACACGTGAACTGGTTTGGTTACTGACCAGGCGGCGAATGTCCCTTTCACTCTCCCATTTGATCTTGGAAATGGCTTCCTGATGGGACTGATGCTCGCTCCGAAGATCCCCCGCCTTGATCTTATCAGCTTGGATCATGTTGTTAAGGGCCTCATCTACCTGCTTTTTGGCAGACTTCAGTTCAGTAATTTCCTGCAGAAGCTTAAGGCGCTCGGAGTCGAACTGTTTTCTGGCCTCTTCACGAGCCTCAATAGTCAGCGCTGTCCGTACTTTATCGCTGCTCCCGTCCCGCAGTGCACACAGCGCTGACTTGAGGCGCTGGATTTCGCTGTCTCGGACTTTTACCATCCGCGTCATCTCCTGCTCATGCTGTTTGATGAGGTTCTCCCTCACGGCCTGCAGCTCCTTCATTTTCTCCTCATGGAGTTTGGCTTTTAGCTCCGTGATCTGCACGGTCTGCTTGCGCTGCTCCACTTCACGGATGCGCTTAGTTTCTTGAGTCTTCTCTCTTTCAAGTTTAGCAACCTATATCGAGGTAAAATGAAAGTCACCTGTTACAAACATAAGGGTATCAAAACAAGCCCGCCCAGACACAGAGCCGTGTCAAATTGAGAAAGACGCTGCTGCAGATCTTAGGCGATTCTCCACCCTCCTACAACAAAATATGGGCCAACTCCTGAGGCATTCATGTAGATTTTACACTGTGTTTACTCAAGCCAAAACCACCCTGTCTTCTCCAGGTGTCTTGCCTCGTGCAGTGACACTACATGTACTTTCAATGTTTCCTTAGGAAATAAGACTGTGTATACACATTTGTCTAATAACTTTTTAACTCATCAGTCAACATTAGTCAAATTCACCAGAAAATTAGAGGGCTCAGAAATAGCAAAGTTCCTACAACTTTCATGACTATGTTCAGTCAATCAGACGACAGCTAAGTGCTTGCCTCTATACGATCCCAGCTGAGGTAAGGTATAAGTCTGAAAGTTCAGGAAACTTAAATTTTACAGATGTTTTTGCCCACGTATAGAGCTTTAACAGGCAGTTGTAGTCACTCTTGGACACATATCTACAGAAAAGCATGCTTCACTGGTTACTGTGCTTATGGAACAGCTAGCTTTACTTAAAATATGTCTTCATGAACAACAGTTTTCAAAGTTCTTTGGCCATAGCTTTGGAATCAAAGTTACAGAGCAACCCAGCAGTCTTCAGTACACTCACACTAACATATCTCTAGGTGCAACTTCACATCCCTGAGCAATTCCACAACAGAAACCTCAGTGAACCTACACCAAAGGAAAGCAACAGATAAGGAATGCTCAGTTCAAAGCAGACTTAGTAGATTACGAGGGTCGACATGGATTGTCACATATACATCTAAGGAATAGTTCACTCAACTTTGATAAGGGTACGTCTTGCTGAAACATCAGCCATTCAAAAACCAGCAGCACTACACAATTTCTAAACACTGAGTGGACAGAATGAAACCCACTAACTGGAATATGGCCAAAGATGTTATGAAAAAGACATATTGCTCCAGTTGAGGGCCAGAGGCTTCTTAAACATGGATCTCCACAAGAAGGAGTCTTTTCCACAGAACCAACAGGACATCCACAGTAAGAAAATGTTGTATGCGTATCAGACCACTGTTCTAGGAAGGAGCTGTGTTGCATCTGTTGATTTCTGTGGTACTGTTTTTCCTGTGTGTTTCTCTCCTTCGGTGTAGACACTGTTATTTAAAACCAAACTCTCACTCACCTTAGATTTCTCCTGATGCAGCTCAATTTGAATGTCTGTTAGCTTGGTCCTGAGTTCCTCATTGGCAGCCTGTAGGGCAACAATCAGTGCCTCAGGCTTTTCGCCCTTGCTACGTCCTTTTTTTGACATGGTTTCTTATCAGCAAGAGCCACGTGTTTAACAATTTCAAATACAGACTGCCATCTTTTTCTGTTCCTTTCAGTGCCAGTTAGGTCAGCACCTATTGTGTGACATTCCCTAAGGTCCTGGACTCAGCTGCTTTGGAAGTCCTGTGAGAAATAAGACATACTATTATTTGTCAGTGGACACTGCAGCATGACAGTTCACATGGTTACAGAACACAAGAGATAGCTCACTTCACCAAACACTACAATCTTTGTCTGAAAACCTGCAAGGGAGATCCCAGCACAATCAGGCCTCTGTATGCAAGTTTGGTGTCCTGGTGGAGATCCCATATATGCCCTTTTCCCGTTCTCAGAAAGGGGCACCATGCAATGAAGACAGAAATTGGTTTACCATACGGATTAGTGCGGTTGAGAGTACAGGACTAAAAAGAGCGGGTCATTTAATCCAAGCCTTCTGGTCTGAGGTAACCATAAAGCAGGCACTTTTGATCTACCAACAATATCCTCCCCCTAACCTTCCCAACCCTTGATTTCCCACCCAAGATCCTTTGCCAAGCTCAAAGACAACACATCTACAATCTGCCACAGGAGGAAAGAAGTGCCGAAATCCTCACCAGCATTCTGGGTCTCCAAAGAAGCAGAAAACTAACAACGCACAAAAGCCTGTATCAGACTAGAAATTGTCCCCTTTGTCATTTCCAAGGGAATGCAAAAAAATTCCACCAATGTCTTCTGTCAACTTTTTTTTTAAAAAAAAAAAAAAAAAGTCTGTCCTAAGTTAAAGCGATGCTTAACAGCAAACACATCAGCAAGATACAAAGATCCAGAAGGCAAGGGGTTTTTTTCCAAATCACTAAAAACACGTGTGTACCTCTGTCCCTTTTACCTATGAGGTTGGGTTAGTTTGGGGTTTTTTTGTGGGGTGAGGGTAGAGGAAGTGAGGTGTGGTGTTCTTTTTAGCATTTGTCTTGGTTACTGGCACTGACTGACAGCCTCAGACAAAGAGCCATCCTGTCCTGCTGTAAAATAAACATGGATTTAATCAGCTCCCTGGAAATGTCAGTGTCCCTGTGTCTCAGCTTTGAACAGGGACTGAGTTGGTGCCATGTTCATGTTCATACAGTCATGCTGACATTCCTTCTACATCCATAAAACCTGCAGAAATTACATATATTCTTTGAGACAACAGCAGAATCCTCAGTAAAGAACATCATTGCAAACTGAACAAAGTAGACTCTACTTCTTGCTGTATAGATCCAGCTATCCCAAAAACTCCGTCCTATATCACCCAGGGATTCCTATGCTGCTCCCAGTTACAATACCTCTGAAATCTTGGCATTGCGTTGTATGCATACAGCTACAAATGTGAGTGTGATCTGATCTGTACTTCCCACAGCGCCTCATTCAATACTGGTAACAAACGAAAGCTCCAATCATGCAGGTCACACAACGACTATTTCATCAGGAGAGCTGAAACAGTACAACACCAGAGCTGAGCCTGCTGTAGGTGCAGATGACTGAGAAAGAAAATGGGCTTTAGAAAACAGTTAGTAAAAATGTTTTTTTCTTGTCATGTACTGTGACACAGCACATACAGATCTGATTTAGTGCTGGCCTGGAAAAAAATCAGGCCAGATGGGACAGAAATGGTCAAGAAAGCAGAAATCTTTTGGCTGTCAATGCCAAATAAATGCTAATACACGAAGACTTGTTGGGTTTGAGCAAAGAATGACACTTTCAGCAGCTTAACTATGCAAAGGATGGCTTTTGAGAAAGAAAATAGCATGCAAGCAAAGAAGTAAGAACAATAGATAAAAAAGAAAAAAAAAAATCACAGGAGGTTACTGCTTAGGGGAGGTTCTTCTTTGCCACATTGCGTAAGATCTTCAACCACCCGGAAAGCAGAAAGCACTTCCAGAGACTCCTCTGGCCTGGAGGCCTCTCCAGCAGCAAGCAGGAGAGGCTCGGAGCACAGGCGGCAGCTCTCTGGCTGTAGCTGCCCTCACAACCGGCACACCTCAACTCCCACCGCAGCCGCCGCGTAGTGCCAGGGGCCACCCACGCCGCCCTGCACCTGCAACCAGCTGCTCCCGGGTCAGCTGCCCAGAAGCTACTGGTGGTTCACAAAAGATGAATGTTTTCACTCAGGAACGAGATACCTTGGACGTTTAGGCTTGAAAGAATAAAGACAGGTGATTACTGATATCGTCGCCCTGCAGACAGAACACTATGGCGCTACGCAAAGGGCCACGGCACACAGACAGCACAGACTGGAAGAGCAGCAAGAAAGCTCAGGTCAAGCAGGAACAGAGCATGCACACCTGAGTTAGCAAAAGAACACAGTAAAGGGAAAATCCAGAAGGAGGTGCAAAAACCACACTCTCAGTCTTCTCCAAAACGGTGCTTTACTCCCTAACCGTTAATCATACAGGCATTTCTATTTTTTTTCTCTGCAGAGGTAAACCTCAGGTTTAGCATTTGTATACAAAGCCATTCTAAGGCAGCGGTGATACGCCGTAGCACTGGGATAATAGAACCTTCTAGTAATGCACCAGGGATGTACAGCCCAAACCTTCCATAAAATTCCCTGGTATCCTGCAATACCACACGCTCCCCACCGGGCACTGACTGTATTACCGAAGAGCACTGTCCCTGCCGTGGAAATCCAGGCAGGTGAGACTCAGTTCTCTGGCAGCCATGCCCTTCCGACACACCACTCTCAATTCCAGAGGGAAAGGAGCAAATGAGACGCACTCATTCTCAGTAGTACACATTGATCAACTCTTTAAGTGTGAAAACAAACAGCTTAGTTCTCTGTATCAATACATTCCCTAGATTTCAGTGGTACACAGCCTTCCGTATATAGAACTCTCTATGAAGAACAGAGGGCACAATGCTGATGCCATTAGGCATGTCACCTCCAGGAAACTAAAAACACCGCAGTATTCCCAGATTGTGGGGAAAATATGACCCTAATAACTGTTTCAAAACCTGGTAGTCTATTTGGCAGTGAAACTACTCAGAGATTGCAAGAAGCATCTGTCAGATGTCCGTAAGCAAAAAGACCTAAAGAATTACTTACAATAAATGACTGCCAAGTACAATAGCAACTTTGCCCTCTACCAGCACATGCCAGTATCATCTGTAGGAACTACTGCTGGAGTGAGGTGAATCTCTGGTTAAGCAAAAAAAGGCTTCAGAAAAAATTTTAAACATCTTATGCGCGAATATCCATTCCAGATGGCAGGATGAAACCTATTCCTAAATTCAGTCTGGAGCTCACAAGGAAAGATTCTACTTGGTCTTTCTTCCCAGAAAAATCCACTCAGTAAATTCTGAAGTAAAAGCTGCACACATTTCTTTTAATATGCACCCTGAGTGAAAATCCGAATGAATTCACTGAAGAATTTGCCACACTTTTAAAATAAAAAGTAGAAACACATTGCTCCAGGCTGTGGAGCATTTATGAGCAAGAGATCACGGCTACACCTGAACTTCATTAGAACTGCTACTGTATGAAAAGCCACATTTGAGTCTCCAGGTTTGTTTGTTGGGAGTTTTTTGGTGGGTTTTGTTTGTTTGTTTTTTAAGATTATTTCAAGCTTAGCTGCATGACATAAGCAGGTAGAAGAAGTTTATATTCAGACTCCCAAAGGTCTAAAGCAAATACTAGTCTCATAGATGACAAGCATTAAGCATGCAGAATGAGATATAAAAAATATAAATGCCTTGAGGAAATCATTCCATAATCTTTAAGATTGAATGTAAAACGTACAACTGGATGAGCAATGCCACTAGAAGCTTCTTCCTACCTAGTCTCTTCAATCTTTTTTTTCCCTTCCTTCCTACAAATTTCACCCATTATTACTTTTTTTTTGGCTTCCATGCCTTCCTTTTAAAATTATTTTTTTCTTTTATTTGCTGTTTGCTCTAGTTCTTTCTTTTTTGTGGCATTCTAGGTTACCTGCTTTTTAATACCTGGGTTCGGTACTATCCTAGCAAAAGGACAGAGGAAAACTACACCTCCACACGGTCCCACGTAACACCGATATCCTTGATCCAAAGCAGCAAACAAATCTGCTCCGAACACTGCTCCCAGCGATAACCTATGGCTAGTCCCTTATCTTCTAGTCATTGGTTGCTTTGTAATTAAACTGTTGATTGTCCTGGAGAAAACAAAACCAGGCTTCGTATATTATACAAGTGGAAAAATACCTTTCTCTGTCTTTACAAGAGACACTTAGGGATAGAAACACCCTAGAAAGAAGAAATGAACACTTCACCACCGCAGCCTTCACCCCACTGAACCACGGTGTTCTGGGCCCTCAGCTAAGTGGAGATACCACAGCACTGCAAAGCCCTGTGCCTCTGCTTCAGGGATGTTCAGGGTGAGTTAATCATTTTCTTCAGTAGCTTTTTCACACTTTTGTTCTCTGCTAAACTGCCCCTGCACAATATTGTCCAGAGCAGAAGTCAAGGATGTCCAGCACCTTGACTATGAAACATACAGGTCTCCGCAGGGAGAGGCAAGGCTTCCACAGCCTACACCTAGATCTCAGCAGCTTTGTATCCTTGCTTCTTCACAAGAGGATAAGGTAAGTCATAACCCTCATCTAAAAGGATCCAGGGCAAAACAATCCCACTAAATATACCCAAAAATTTGGGGCGGGATGGAGTTTAGCAGCCTGTATGAAAGCCTTCCCACTGCACTTTTCAAGGCTCGTGCAAACTGCAGCCAGCCTGGATATCCTCATTAGCGGCTCCGCCCCAGCCAGGGGCACTGAACAACAGCTTTATATCCAAGGCAGTCCAGAGGTGAATCCGGGGGAAATGATCCATGTTTGTACTGTGGTTTCTACAGGTACCTGGAAGATGCTTTTTTAAAAAGTATCAGTGGACAGCCCTCTTGTTGCCTTCCCCTGTAAATACGTAACAATCGCTACTATCATACTGAATGTTAATTTGAGAAGTTGGGATCAGGCTATTTTTAAAGCAATCTGTCTT